TCTTGATCACGTGAATAAAGTAATCGATAGAATTTCGAATAAAATGTATAATCTTTTCTTCTATATGGATCTCTTGAATAAAGTATTACATGATCTAATTGTTTTTGTCGATTATGTTCATGTGTAAAAAACCATTGTCGTTGAGTCCAAAGTAAACAATCAAATTGATAAGTTAAAAGAAGATATATTGAATTATTAATACGTAAATTCAACATTGAAGATGAGATTAATTGTTCCCATTGGTTTGAAGCGAAAAATGTTGGATCATGTATTGTAAGATGTAAAACTTCCAAAGAATTAAAACAATATTTGATTAATTGTTGGAATAGATTGAAATGTAGATTATCAACTTTAATAAAAATAGTTTTTAAATATTTTAATGTAATAGGAGTTTGATTAATATTTAAAGAATTCGATCCAACAAGACAATCATATTGATAAATAAAGAAGTTTCGGAAGACTATGAAGTATCTGACAAAGTGAATCAATTGAAAAACGATTATTAATAATAATATATTCGATAGGACTATGTGTAAAGTAATTCATATAAATTGGCATTGGTTGTTGATCATATTTTGTTTGATACATTATTTTACAATATTTTAATTTTGATAAACGAAATATACGATGAAAAAGAAGACCTGGATTTTGAACATAATCAATAAGACTAACAACTAATGAATGTAATTTTGGTAAAAAATTTAAAAGTTTGAAAATATTATAAAGATATTTTGTATCAATATTATCAAAAATTAAGGTTTCAAGTTGAATATAATCATAAATAATACGTGGTAGTGACAAAATAATATCAGCAGTAAATGGATTTGATAGACGAATATAATTTATTCAATATTTATTTGGTTTAATCATATTATTATGATAAAGATCAAGATTTGATTTTGACATTGTTGTAATATTTATTTGAATAAAAAAATTTCTATTAACTAAATTTTGAAATCGTTGATTAAGATAAAAAAATCCTTCATAAACATGATAAACATCAAGATATTGAAATATATCATAAATAATTGCATTTATTAAATGTTCAAAATAAGATCTAAATAAAAGAAAATTAAATGATTAAACAAATTTTACATAACTTACTTATTTATTATTACTAAAAGCAAATAAAAATAGATAAAGATCTATTGCATATAGATAACAACAAAAATCTCACATTCATTTTCTACTTTTTGTTTCTTATTATCATTATAATCATAAATAATGTCGTCAGCGATCGTTTTATTCGTTCCATATTTGAATTAGTAAATGATAATGATACTAATCTAATGTCGAATTTTTTTAAAAATAGTCCCCACCATTTTTTGAATAACTCTTGATCGCTTATAGCTATTGAGCTCAGGCTTTTGCCATTAGAAAGAGCAAGTGAGGGGTCATCTATCTATACAAAATTCATAAGATTCGAATAAGTTTTTCATGAATGTTTGTGAATGAACATCTTTTTCGTTGTCTATTTTCATGAGTTTTCACAGCAATCTACGCTTAAATTATACTAAATTCTAGCCCGAAACGACCTTTATTCCTGGTAAAATTTTTAAATCTCTCTATAGTTTATTTGAACCCATACTTCAAAGCTATAGTTTTAAAATACAAAAATTTTACCAGGAATAAAGGTCGTTTCGGGCTAGAATTTGGTATAATTTAAGCATAGATTGCTGTGAAAACTCATGAAAATAGACAACGAAAAAGATGTTCATTCACAAATATTCATGAAAAACTTATTCAAACCTTATGAATTTTATATAGATAGATGTTCCCTCACTTACTCTTTCCAATGGTAAAAACCCGAGCTCGATAGCTATAAGCGATCGAGAGTTTTTCAAAAAACGGTGGAGGCCATTTAAAAAAAATCCGACATTAGAATAACAAAAACGTATAGATATCTGAATATATGCACAGGTGAAATAACATTCTAGATGTTTTTCTCTCTGTCTCTCTTATCTATAGCTGATCATATTGTCTTATTATGATACGATGAAGTTTGTAAGGATATTATCCAACAAACTGAAATATTTGATTTAATATAGAAAAATACTCTGCCAGAATTTCTTCTTCAATAATTGATTGTTTAATTTTTGCAAATATTATTGTCTAATTAAACAGCAATTTATTAAAAGAATTTCTATGATTTCTTGAGATTTGTTTTCTATTTGATAGGAAGATATAATATGAAATAACGATTAAAAGACAAATGCAAAATTAAGCATGGATATTATTTCAATAAGACTTTCAAGAGTAAAGCCCGTCGAATGAGATTTGAACCCACTCGAATTCGGGTTTGAGGTCGAAAAGGTTTGAACACGATGGACCTCAATAGTATGAGAAATCCATAGTTTGTGTTAGTCGCTGAATGCAAAAAGACCAATGAAAATACCATGATATCCTCCAAGTGACTATTCAATAGTAACTAAACCTCTCCTTTCAACACAAGACCTTCTATATTAGAAGAACCATTATATTGGAAAACCCTCATTGAAGAAATAATGCTGTAGCAATAATAAAAGGCATTTTAAATTATTTCTATGCTAGAACTATGGCTAATTGTCAGAGTTTTGAGCTGAAAATCTTAAGAGACCAGGATCAATGTTATTTCTGAACTCTTAAAACGATGAAGATATCTTGTTAAATGCTTGAAAGCTTTTTGTTTTCTGAAAAGTTTTTTTTAATAAAAATAAATGAGATACAATTGAAGATCACTCTCAAAATTTTGTATGCTTGGACATAACAGAAGAGCCGTGAACTTTCTATCCTAAGAAGGGACAATACTTGTTTCAAACATCTCTCTTGAATAGTTAAAATGTTTGTCGATAAACGACTTGAAATAGATGCTGAATAATTCGTTTTATTTTTGGTTGTTTGATCGATAAAATAAGAAATTTCTGGACGAAAACATCTTTGAAATGCTCGAGAAAGAATTCGTTTGAGTTAATTTTGAATCAGAAGTGAAAACTGAAACAAACCAATCCAATCGAGTATATGTTTCATTCGATGATATTATTCTTGATTCATTGTCGTTTTCAGTCATTTCGTTTTTTTTTTCAATTATTTTTTTCTTTATGAAATGTCTGTTCAAGTACAGTTAAATATCTCTCTGTTCTTTATCTTTCAATCTTGAAAAGTGTATGGATTTTAATCATTGTTCATCTTATCTATTATTTGAAAATGTATCTCGATCTACTCATCACTAATGAGATCGGTTCGTGTTTTTTTTGGAACCGAATCGATTAGAAAATAAAGGAGATAAAGAAATTTTGTCAGTTTTAACTCTTTTTTAGAATATTCATTTACAACAATTTATTGAAAGTAAACATATAATGCCTTCGCTAGTTCTAAGAGTATCCTAGAAAACTGAGATGCAAAAAATATTAAGAACATAGATATTTTCGTTTTTACGATAAAAAAATTTTCTCCATCAGAAAATACTAGAATAGTTTTAGTGGTTAGCCAACTTCTTTTTAATCAAGAGCGATTGTGCATTTTCGTTCGTAGTTCAGTGCAAAGTTTTAGAGAAGATACTTCTTTTTTAAATAAAGTACTCATGTTAATGAAAGAATATTAATAATTTATTACTTTATAAAAATTATTAACTACCTAATAACTCCATTTTGCTTTCAACTTCCATGAATTTGACGAAGAAGAGTATGTAAAACTGAGCATAACGATTGGATTATCATTTCAAAAAAAGATACTTTCAATGGCATTTTTACACTATTTTAATCTGAATTAGCGATAGTTCTCATTGTGCACGAGGTTCGAAAACAACAATACTTCATGGGTTTCATGTTAAAATACTCAAAAGTGGTACTTGATTTTAAAAAAATACTGGAACAAGCGCACTCAATGAAATTAAATATGTTTTTTACACGCGCAGAATTTGGGTGTGGATGTGTCGGGTGAGAACAGCTACCACAATACAGGTCTATTTCATTTTTACTGATAAAAAGGTAATCAAGTGACATCGTATCAGTATAAAAGATTCACTTCCAAAGAGGATACGCAATACAAGAATAGGAGATAGGACAAGAGATTGAAAATGATCACACGATGCGTTTTACTATTGTTTAAGGGGCTCGTCAGGGATTTTCTCAATATATTGTTACATGACAATCAAGATTCTTCAAAAGAATGAAAATAGTACAGGTTGTTTTTATTTATTTATGTAAGGGTATGAGACGAAACCGAGTTTTTTGAATGGAGAAGAGAAGCTCAAGTTTTTTTTTATAATTTAATAATGTTGAATGGAATGTGATATGAATAAGAGAATGAGCCGAGTTGTTATTTGAGGACATAGTAAATTTGTGGAATAGTTTTATTCAATTGATAAATGAATTCATTTCGAATCAAGATCGAGTCGCATTCGTTGCTGAACAAAAAGCTGATAATAGGAGTGGTTGACATGATGGAAACATGAGATGCTAATTGCATTAGATGAGCAGAATAAAATGATATGTCGACTATACTAGTATGGTGATGTGCACACGAATAACAGTTAATAAAGAAAGGCGAGAACTATGCAGACAACAGTGAAAGAAACAGAATGCATTCAATTCCAAATGCAGGCTAACGTGTACAAAGAAAGTATAAAAAGAAAAGACACACCTGACGGTCGTTTTTTTGACTGATGCCATCAAATTTAGATTTTCATTTCAAAAGATAAAATTTTATTGAAACTGTAGTAGTGAAACATTTTGGAAAAAGTTTTAAAAAAATTTCTCAAGAACTACATGTTCAATAGTCGTGAAAATTTCTGGATTTCTATTGCAAAATATTCTCGATAGATTGGTAGAGAAATTCGATTTGGAATATCAACTTAATTGCATTTGCATTTTGTCTTCAGAAATCCACCACAACGTCCACCTGATCTTCCTTCACGACAACACTTTCTTTCACATGCACTTCTATCAAATGGACATCGAATTCCCGCAAGTGAACCATCGGGACCACATGTAGCATCTCTCTGGTCATTGGTGCAAAGGCAAGTTCCTTTACAAAATCCTGTTAGATAACCAGCATGACAACAAGATCGATCACAACTTTCTGTTTCCGTGTCTGTAGGTCTTCCAATTACTGTCTGACACGTGGGTTGGACCAATTTACCGCAAACAGTTTCCACTGCCGCTTGAGTTTTTTCCGGTAGTACTTTATATCTATTCCAGCGAGCTTGAAGTGCCGCTCCACGCTATAAAAAGAATTAAAATTAAAAAATTCAGTCATTAAACTCACTTCGAATCTGTATATAAAAAAAGCTTTGTACAATACAGAAAAAAGCAAAATCAAAATATCAAAATCTGTGTACAATTAAACTGTGTGATGATCTTAACTAGAAATTCATCGATGAACTATTGCTAGGAATAATCTTGTAACTACTTTAAAGGTTGACAAGAAACCTTCTCAATTGTTTAATCGCTTTTGAACCAACTATTTTCTCAAGCGATAGATCTCAATGAGTTATTAAATATCTTAGAATGATTCGATTTTCCAGATCTCCTCTGACTTTTCTAGATTATTTAGTGCTATCTATCCTGTCAAGGTTTGAGATAAGTCGATGTTGCTTTACTGAGATCTGTCAAATTTTTGTGTACAGTAATTGGTAATCGAATTATACTATGATTCTTGCGCTAGCGTGAAATCATAGACTCAGCTAATCTTTTCAGCACCTATGAATGCTACGCTGAATGATGTGGGTTAGACGTTTTACTTCAATTACTCATACGTTCATTGATACGAATGAAGCAATAGAATATAGATGTGTTGCACTACGAAACATACGTATGGAAAGTTGGTATCCAAAAAATTCATAACTCTACAAATAGCCTACAACGGTCATGAATTTGGACTCGATAAGAACTAATTTAGTTCAGAACTAAAAAAATAGATACTGTAATAGATGGATATCTCTACTCAGAAATCCTAGAAAACCAGATCATTTCAGGATATTCAATAATTCATTGAGATCTATCGATTGAGTAAATAGTCGCTTTAAAAGTGATTAAACAATCGAGGAGACTCTTTCGAAAGTGCTAAAATACTGACCGGAGGATCTGGAAACCAGGTCCAAGAATGACTTTTTGCAATGATCATCAGCACTGAAAAACAAAATATTGAGTATGTCAAGCATGATAAAAACGGTTCAGTTAGAAGAAATGCCCACTCACCAACGACTGTGATCGAGAACAAAGCATGAAAGTGGACCATATCGAGCTAAAATGATAGACATAAGAGATAGTACAGGAAGCAAGTAAATGATCGCACATACTATTACTGTACTTTTGTCTTTATGCGAGCTGATAGATATCAAATCAATCTAATGCATCTGCGATCTGCACTGTATAATATATAGACGCAGAAATGCCGTATTTCTAATGCAGATTCCGTATATTTACTTCCGTTTTCAGTATCAAATAACAATAAAATATCCATTGCACCTTCTTTCAGTATTCAAAGTCATGCAGAATTACAGGCTTAGTTACCAAATAATTGCGCAGTAACAAAACAAAGCGGGGAATGGGTTTCTTTTTGATCTCAATGTCAATATTTTAATAATGCACCCAGCTGCATTTTAAATAATTGATGAAACAATCCATCGAGTAAATCAATTGAAAAACAGATCGACCTATCTTCTGTACATTTTCTGGTACTTACATAAATGATCGTATCAATGGGAATGTGAATTCTGGTTTATTTGAGATAGGGTGTGGGTGTGGGTGGTCTGGGCTTGGGTGTACAAGAGGACCAAAACCACACTCATGCCCATACCCAAGCACCAACACACCCATCCACCTGCACACTCACACCCACACCCTATTCAGTACTGTTAAATCTTATTTTTGGCGCGCTCTAATTTGGTATAAAATTTGTTGATGATGCTATTTAAAACCACAGCATTACTTTCTGAAATAATAACGGGTGGGCCATAAATAATTATACTATCAGTATTTTTAACATTTCTCCTCTATTATCCCCGTGATAGAAACTCTTTTTTTTAATCAAAAGATAGCGCTTGAAATTTTGCAAAAAACTATATACGGTTAGAATGAAAAGCTATTTTAGATATATTTGAAAATAGATGAAAACTAAATACATACAAAAAGCTGTAAAATGTAACAGATTGAACATTATGAATGACCACGCTTTGCATCCCATTTTTTCATCACTTACGTCGCCCTATTAAAGAAACAAAACATACCAAAAGATGCAGCGTGAAAAGCTCTACAATTTACATAAGATCGCTTATTTTATAACTGCAGCTTTGTTTCCAAAATGGACAAAATTTTGAGCGATCAAATTTCGACCATGCGAATATGGCATTTTTTTTTTGATACAGGATGAATTCATTTTTTTTATTTCATTTTTTTTATAACTATTCTTGGTATATTGTAGAGCTTTTCACGCTGCATCTTTTAGTGTGTTTTATTTTCTAATAGGATGGCGTAACGAAAAAATGCGATGGAAAGTGTAGTCATTCATTATGCTCGATCCGTTACATTTTACAGCTTTTTGTATGTCTTTAGTTTTCATCTATTTTCAAATATATCTAAAATAGTTTTTCGTTCTAACCGTATATAGTTTTGTGCAGAATTTCAAGCGCTATCTTTTGATTAAAAAAAGAGTTTCTATCACGGGGATAATAGAGGAGAAATGTTAAAAATACTGACAGTATAATTATTTATGGTCCACCCGTTATTATTTCTAAGCCTGTATAAATAATTACCTAAAAACGATGATTTAATCTAGAGATTTTCAATGACGCTGTATAGCCTTAGTTTTTTATTTCTTTAATAGAGAGAGCGTCTATTTTCAGAAATGGCGTAAACAACAAAGGTATATATATATAGAACAAAGGAAGGGAATCGTCAGGCGGTAAAAATGGTTCTCTATCGGAGATCGGGTTTCTTCTTTCAATTGTATCGATTTATGCTCCACAAGCCTATTTCTATTGAAATTAGATAGTTTGATAGCTTCCACGACTTTTTTCACAGTAATTACGTGGAAATCATTGTCTTTAAAGATCTTACACCTCATTCA